TTAATATAAATTCTTTTAGAAAAAAATATATTTTTCTTACCACAACTACGAACATAAGTATCCATAACTTCAGGTACAACACCATAAGGACCATTTTCGGATGGATGATGTTTTCGAAAAAAACTTAATATAGAACCTTCACTAGCTAGAACTTCAGCAACTGTTGTAGATTCAATAAATTGTAAAAAACCATGTCTAGTACTTGTAGCAAGTACCCTAAAATATAAATTAATTTATATTTTAAATAATATTATATATCGAAAAATTGTTTTAAAAATATTTACCTATAAGGAGTAAGTTTTAAATCCAAGTTTTCTCTTCTTAATAACTTATCCATAAGTGCAATTGTTTGTAAAATTAATTGATCTTGTCTAAGATCGTCACCATGTTTAAAAATTGCAATATATTCACTATTATCCATTGTTAAAAATGTTAATTTAGATGGCATGAGAGCTGATTTAAAAAGACTAGCTCTAAAAATAGCATAAATCATTAAAATATAAATATTCATTAAATTAAATTAAATATTCATTATTATAAAAGAAATTATATACTTTTCAGGTATAATTCCTTTGATAGAAATTTCTGGATCCAAAGGAAAAGGTATTGGTTCAAAATTCGAAAAATTAATTTTAAATGCTGGATCTGGATCTGCTAATAACACTCTCAATCGGTCAGTCTTCTTTTTACGATTTCCACTTTCTCGTGCGACTGCTTTCACCAATGCTACTAATTGATCAATAAATATTTTTTGATGTAAAAGAAATGCTCTCCTTTTTTGCCAAATAGCATTTCCTTGTGCCAGCATCATTGAAAACATTGACATTACAGTATTATACATTTCTTTGACACGAGTATCTTGTTTTGCACTTATAGATGGATCACTTTGATCTTCACATTCAATTGAAAGATACCAATAAAAATAATTAGCCAAAGTAGTATTTTGACATGCACGAGTAATCAAAAAAGATGCTAAATCCATAAGAGAATCTTGATTTATTGAAAATTGTCCATTTTCAGATTCACTAGACTGAAAATAATGCATATCTATGTAATAAATTATCTTTGTAATAAATTAGAGAAATTCAATGTTTATATTATAAAAGTATTTACAGTTGTTACAGCTATAGATGAAGAATCATTAATTTGTACATCTCTATCCAATTTTTCAACTTTTTCTGTTTCTTTTTCTTTTATTAATATTTGATGTGCCCTTTTAATACTTTCAAAATCTTCATATTTCAAAGCTTGTACTAATTGTAACAAGTATAACATTAAATCATCATCAGGTGCTTGATTAAGTCGAGTAATAGCATATCTTCTAACAGCTGTATGTGTAAATGCTGGACCAAGTAACTCTAATGCATCTTCAGGATCAGGTGGTGCCCATAATGCTAACATTTCTAATGCTTGCCGTTCTTCTCCAGCAACTTTCCAATTTACACATTTTACGAATTTTGTTAAAGCTTTCTTTTGATTTGACAAATAAAATCTATATTTCCAAATAAGATCCTGTTCTTCTGTAGAAAGTGCTGTTGTTGGTGGATAACTTAATATTATATTTAAAGCATCACGAACATTTGAAGTTGGTTTTAATTCTCGGGTATGACCACCACTCCTTAAACTTCGAGCCAGTTTATGATGTTTTGCTTCCACAAGATTTTCCTAATAATAGAAATATAACAAATATATGAAAATAAAAATAAATATATTTATTATTTTTATTATTTATTTTTATTATATATTTATATTTATAATTATATATTTGTATGTTATATATTTAATTTGTATATTATAAATTTTAAATTTATTATATTATTTTTTAATATTAATGTTAATATTAATATATATTTGTTTATAATATCAAATAACATTTTTAAATTATATTTTATTAATCTTTTCATTAAACTTAATGAAATGGCAAGTATAACAA